TTTTGCTCCTTTCACACATACTGCATGCCTCAAATAATTAGCACAACCAGAATAGCTAGATAATGTTTAAGAAGAGTAATCACCTAAAAGTTAAAAATAGGAAAACTTGTGTCTAATGTCAGAATTTGTCATATTACCATTAAGCAGTGATATGGACAAAGAAGGACCTACTCTCCAAAGTGCTTTGATACAGCAGAAGTTTGCCTGGGAGAGATTGTCAAGCACAATAGCATTATCTGCCTTTTTATTTAATGTATAATATCAAAGACCAGCAAAGTAGGGCTTCTCCACTCAACCCTTAACAATTTAACTCTCCATTCATAATAATCTTAAGAGAAATTGTCTCCTGCTCAGGTTTAAAACAATTTCTTTGAAGTCTTCCTTTTGAACTACATTTTTTATTAAAAATTAAAGACTATACAGATGATTGATAATCATTTTTTTATTTTACCTTTATAATGATGAGTTCAAAGCAAACTGAAGGGCAGCCAACAGTACCATCATCTATGTCATATTTTAAGTTTAACTCTATGCCTGACTGCCTCTTATCTATAAGACTGCCTTCAAGTCACCCACAGACATATCCTCATCCATGCAAAAATTAGCACATATATAATTATTTTCTAGATCTGATTTTCTTCATTAATCCTTGTCACATGCAAGGATTGAAATATTCAAGGTTTCTGGTAGTTTGATGACATTATTTTCCAGTACTTGTTCCAAGCTTCTTTTATAATCATTATTTCTATGAAGTCATTCAACTTGGAAATAATTGCTTGCCAAAACTGAGTTTCTCTGGTGAACCACTCAACACAGCTTTAGTTTTACAAAGAACACCATTCTTCGTGTGCTGTTAATCTTGGCTTAGAAACACCACATATTATCCTTCCCAGTTAAACAGTTCGGCTCCTGTTCTCTTAGTTATACTTTGGAACCATTAGACTTCTAGAATATAAATGTGTGAGTCACCTAGCTGGTGACTCTTTGGAAACAGATTTTCCAAGTATAGATATATGAATCCTCTGCCCAGGACAACATGCAGTAGTTGTTAGAAATGTGAGAACTTCCCAAACAGTTCCCAAACCTGCCTTATATAGGAAAAACTGTTGGCATTTTATTACACAGCTTTGTTATTTAGTCTGATTTTAACTTATTAAGTTGCTAAGACACCATGTCCCAATACTAGACATAGAGGTTAAATTATTCAAATAAATTAGTGCTTCCTGTGAAAATATTCCTAAGTACTTAATTCTAATTTTTATTTGCCCTTTTAATCTTATCTCATTTAACACTGCACTTCTGAAAAGCTAGTAACAGAAAGTCAGAACATGAAAATTTGATAAATAAATAATTTAGGTATTCAGTGGATTGGTCTACAGAATACAAAATAAGTTCACTATCAATTCATTTTATAACCAAAATTACTTTAAAAACCATCAAAATAGAACACTGTGTTGACATAGCACAGGCCTGACTTCATAAATCAAACTGCTAACAGGCTATATGGCCATTATGGAAAAGTAAATTGAAATTGCTTCTCTGTTTTATGTTCACAATGTAACCTCTGAAGGCAAAGGATTTTCTCTTGTCAAATCCTAGTGAAACTATGTCTCCATGTCTTCCAAATTCAGAGAAACTGGGTCATGGATAATTATCAGGCAAGCCATGTTTGCAAAGGTGATTTGCTCATGAGAATTCTCTATAAAAATGAAAGCACTTATACTGAAAATATATCAAATGAATGCTGCTACTTCATCAAATAAGAATAAGGCCACTGAAAAGTAAAATTTCTAAAATGACAGAAAAACTATGAAAATGTTAGCATTTATAACTTAAATATCTATACTTTGGAAAGTGTGTTATTAAATGTATCATAGGCTTACAGGTGATTTACCATATTTTCTTCTCAGCAAAAAAAAAATGTATTGTGAAGCTCTCAATACTGGAGGGTTCATGACATGAGAAAAATGTCTTTATGACAAATACATGTATTTTACATTCAAACTGACTTTATCAACATGAAAAATTTTGCTCAATTGCCTATTTATATCTTCGAGAAAATTTTCTATCATACATACAAGTGATTTTTATTGCATGTCCAATTTAAATTGCTTTCCAATTATACTCAACATTTATACACATCAAAGGGTGATGTAAGTTTTGACTTTATCAAGTTCTTCACACACACATGCATGCACATGCACACTGAACTTTTAGAGCTTCTAATTAAAACACAGATAATGCAGACAAGCTTGCTTTTAACATACTCTGTGAACACTGAAAACTACACAAAAACCAAAATACAATATCCAACTCTTCCATTACTTTTGTTTCACCTGATCAGAAAGTAGGAAAATATGGTAGGCTACACTGCATCTCCTATTTGTGCATCTTAAAACAGAAAATATTTAATAGTATTCCTTTATCACTGATTGTTCACACAACTGAGCTTCAGCGAATAGAAAGATATTGGGAAAGAATTTGTAACAAAAATTTAAAAATATTTTGAAAACAATGAATATGGTGTCCTTTCCCCAGTGGGAATTTTTGTCTGCTTTGTCAAAAATGAGCATGTCATATTAAGCAGTGTTTCCTAATATATATTTTAAAGGAGAGAATGAAGACATGTACGTTAGAAGCTTTGTCTAAAGGGTTTACGCAGTAGAGAAGACACAAAGTCAAGCCATATCAGTGAAACCACTTTTATTTTTATTTTTTCCACATAGATAACTTCATGTCAACTACAAAAATCATGAAATAAAGAATCGATCATGAAACTGCAAACTCAAAATCACCAGAGTGATAAACAGGTTTCCCCCCAGATGACTGTTTAAAAAAAAAATAACCAGGATACCATGAATTCATATTTAAGTAGTAAACATGTCATATATTTTAAAATAATAAATATTGAATAGCAGTAGAGAAACTAATAGCATAAACAGCATGAAGTATATATATTTTTTAAGACAGATGAGATTTCTAGGCACAGTTTTAGGCATTAAAGAGGACACAGAGGCATAGGTTAGTGTGCGCTGCTGCTCTGTACAAAAATACAGTCTGAATAAATTACATTGCTAGCCATACAATTAGACGTCACTTACCAGTCAATTCATTGCATGTTTAATAATATATAGGTACATGCTAATCCATATATATCATTTATATTTCAAACACATAGGTCTCTCTATATTTATGTCTTTAAAATTTACATGTTGACTTACAAAAAGCTAAATAGTTGTGCAAGAAATCCGAATAACTAGCCCTGCTGAGTACTTGATGCTATATGTGTGTGAGTATATATATTTCTCTCTACGATAAACAATGGGTTTGTGGTTAACAATTTTGCTTAAGAAAACATCAAACAAACCTAAAACTGCAAAGACATAATATTAATGTAGGTGAAAATTTCACTTGTGTTTATTCTGATAGACAAAATTGTATTTTGGATGAGCAACAACAATTTTCATGTCATACTGAGCTTGTTAGTAATGAAACACTTCCAAATATTAGTGATGGTAGAAATATAGCATAGGGCTCTTCACTGGGAAGGGGAAAAGAAAGTTATATAAGAAATCTACTTTTCAGTAAACTTCAAATATGTGTGCCTCAACCTATAACATATTTTGTCACTTTCCAGCTTGTCATATTGACAGAGAATAAAAACTTGGTAAGACTCAAGATATGATATTGGTTTAATAGCACACTGCATCCTCTACTAGGACCAAGAAAAGTGCCTCACTGATGTCAGCACTGAGTACTGTTCTCTCATTATTCAGGAATAAAGAGATCTCATAATAGAGGGTGTTTAGTTGCCCAAATCCCTATCCAAATATCGTATTTCTCATGCTGCTCTGATAATACACAATTAACTGCAATACAGGCTGCCCCAGATTTTGCTATTTCTCAAGAAAATTGCTTTAAAAGATTCTATAATACTGATATCTTTCTGAGAAATTTCCACTTGCAGTTTCTTAGGATTCATCATAGAATCATACACTTTTATAAAGGTTTCTCTCCATGATGTATTTCATCACTTTTGTCTATCATTGGTAAAGTAAGAATAAGCCTGGTACTTCGTATTTGTGATTCTATAGAAAATTCATAAGATAAGCGGGCTTTTTTAGCATTTGAATAATAAAATAGTTTTGTTTTGTTTTGGCTGTTGTTTCTGGCAACCATTCTTAAGACAAGCTGAAAGTAGAACTTTGCTTTGGGAGGTAAAGCAAATTATTAAATACTATTGATATGGTCCTGCTCTTAACAGATTTTGCAATACAGTAACACATAGGTACGTTTTAAATGATTTTTCCAATGTTTCTTTCTGCAAGAGGGCCAACGCCAGAACACACTGTTTTAGTGTCTTTGTTAACAAAAATATTTATAACTTTTATATTAGAACTGTATATTTGATATAAAAATATGTTTATAATTAAACTATCCAAGTTTGTATATTAAACAAAAGTAACACAAGTTTGCAATATGAGATTAGTTGCAAACTTATTCCCTATCATTGGTATTTTCTTCCATTTGAATGGTCAGTAAGTGATTTCCTTAACATAAACCATCATAATTGTGTGTACAAATCAGTTAGCCCATCAGTTAACTTCAGAGGACCAGGTGATAACCAGATGAATTCTACTTCTCTACTGAGACATTTATATAAATCTATCACTATTCTTTTTTTAAAAAATGAAGACATTTAAAATACTTGCAAAAAATAGCAGCCTTCTATTTTAATAAATTTTACACAAAATGATCATCCTAATTGCTACTCTATTTTGAACTACAGTGCTTACAGAAGAATCATTAATTTTCAGAATAACACCATTTCAATTTTTCTTCTTAGGCAATTCTATTAACACTTTCCAGTGACACAGTAGAGAACATAGAGCAAAAAGCTTTAAGGTACCATACTTCTGTATGGTAAATAAGTGTGAATACCAATCTAAGCCTCTTAACAACGTGTACAAGGTTAGTGTTCAAATCACTTCACTAGAGCAAATATTAATTTTATGTATAATAGGCAAATGTATGTGGAGGGTTAGGGAACAACTTATTACCATTTATACTAATGGTTCACCTTCTATAAAAACATTAAGCTTGTTACATATGCACAATTGTTTGCTGCAATGTTTGGTAAATGATTTAAAGGGTACAAAAGCAACTCATGCATATTTCTTTCTGGTTGCCCCAGGGAAAACAGAGACCCTCAATTTTTCCCCATTCTAGATAGAGCTGAGGCACAACTTCTAACCACGTAATGAAAAGCACATGTCTCCAAGTCTTGACTCCCTTCCCAGGGAGATGCTGATTGCCAAAGCATAACCTCCCATTAAAGAGAGTATTCTTGAAGGTGGAATGTGTACCATTAACTAGTTACATTCACAACTCCCATTAGATGCTGAAGGGCAGTTCACTTTTCAAGGGCTCATTCAAGCAAATAACCAACAGCCAATGCAGTCATTGGTTGGGATAAGCAGGCGATAAGGGCTCTATCAGTGGAATCCTTGTCATTGCAAAGGAACTTCTAAATGTTGCTTATGCCAGCTGCTCCCCTGCAGGCAATAGAAGATTCAAGCAATTCTCATTCCAACCACTTTCTCACAATGGTTGCTGTCATATAGACCCTTCACTTGTCAAGAAAAATGACATGAACATATTGGAAGTTTGCAGCATTTGCCTACGTCTAATCAGCTCTCTTAATTTGTGCAGGTCCCTAAAATGGATGTAAAAGCTGGTTATGATGTTGACAGCCAAAAGGCAAAGGATATTAAATCAACTGAGCAAACTGCTTGATGCTCCACAAGTGTTTTAGAAAACAGTGAGTTACAAAAGATGCAGACATAATCCTTTTGTTGGATGGTTGCTGTTGTTTTTTAATTTGAGACTATTGGTTCTAGTAGTAGTCTTCATAGTTCTTAGGGTTCAGGCAATAAAGGATGGCACCCCCAAATGAAAATATAGTTGCACCCCAGGCCAGGCCATAACCCCAATTGAACTCATGGTAAATTTTCAAGCTCACAGTTTCAATGAACTTGATTGGGTAAAGGACCAGGCTGCAAACCTGTAAAACAACTGAAAGAGAAGCAAATCAAAATTAGAAAATGTTATTTACAGGAAATAAAATGATATAAACATATAAAGATATATGTACGAGTTAATTTTTAATCAAATAAACATAAAAGCCAAAAAAATTAAAGTACTACATATTCTAGGTGGTATATTTTAAAATATTAACTTTTTTTGTTTAAACATTTTTTCACAATATAGTAAGAATTGCCCTATAATAACTAGTAAGTCAGTATTTGGTGTGATAATTAGTACAATATAATAATTTATATAAGCATACAAAATAGTTATTCTTACCTTACAAACACATATATAATTATTACTGTTATGGCAAGTAGTACTAATTAAAGCTAAACTGTTCCACTACTAAAACCTCTAAATAACTCCCCAAGAATAGTGACCCCAATGCCAACTAAAATTCTCATTTATGCTCTTGAGGAACTGGGGAATTCAAACTCCTTTCTATTGATGAAACTGGTCAATCTGTGACTGAAATGTGCTTTTGTTGTTTGTTGTTGTTTCACAATATCATATAACTCAGCCCAATATTCCAGAAAGTCCTACCTTGATGTTTTTGCTTATATTACTCTAATCCAAAATTACTTTCATTCTTTTCCTCTCATCCAGTCCATGCCTCTCATTTTAAATAGGGCTCAAAAGTCATCTTTGTCAAGAAGTTACAACCCTTTCTATTATATCTAACAGATGATATTTACATATCTATTTCCTACCTACTTTCACAATAGAATTAAGTCTATGAAGGCATAGGAGATAACAGTACTGGAAAACCTAGGCTAATGGTGGCTACTACAACAGAGCACAAAACCTAGCTCTTATTTCCTACTTAGATCTTAGTTCTCAGTGAGGGTTAAAAGGGAAATGTGATTAGTCATACCTAATAAAATAAACCAAACTAATTACTTGGGAAGGAGGAATTTATTTTGTTGCTGTTGTTTTCTTTTTTACTATCTAAAACTAAAGTGATATTTATCCTGTGGGTATTTTTATATGAGATACTGGATTTCACAAGAAAAAATGTCTTCTACTTAACATTGAAAACTTTCTATTATAGCAATTGTTATATCGTTTTTATTTTATTTAAATCAATTTAACTAGAATTTATGGAATGAATCTGCTTCATTCTATACCACACGACAGCTTCCATCCTCAAGAAACAGAAAATCTTATTCCTAAAAAAATATGAGGTATAGTTATATATAACATGGGTTGTCAAACTACCAAATCTGGTCTGCTTGGTTTTGGGAAACACAGCAATGCTCATTCAAATATTGTCCACACTACAGAGTGGCAGAGTTGAGTAGATGCATCAGAAACCATATGGCCCACAAAGGCAAAAGCATTTATTTTCTGGCCCTTTACAAAAAAAGTTTGTTAACCCCTGATATATGAAGTGATTTTTTTGGTTAAAATGATTACTGCTTAATTCATCTGAAAAATACTGTCAATTCCTGAAGTGCAAGAACAAAAACGTGAACAGTTAAAGAACAGAACAAAACTTTGATATAAGAAAAAAATATACATGATTTTGATATAGTTTATTATATTTTTTAAAAAAGAGCACTAGGATGGATAGTATGTTTAATTAAACTGGAATTTTATGCTTTAAAAATCTACTGTCATCTATTCTCAGCACTTGTAAAGATCATTATTACCAATATGATTAACATTCCTAGAAAGTTTATATAACAGTTGTCTTTCTCTCTCATAAAACTGATGAACTATAGCAAATTCATGAGGGCATAACTCCTCAAAATCATTACTTTCTACGAGGTCTGACTAGGGGGTCAAAAGATCTATGTGGAGCTAGATATAAGAATTCCAACCATCTTTGCCATGTGGTTCAACACTGCTCTGGGCCAGCACCCTGCCTACCATATTTCCATGTTACTACGAGAATGGATGGATAAATAAATTCATACAAAGGAAGAATCTCTCAACATCCAAAACACAAATCACACCTTGTTTATAGTTTCAAAGTCTCAGAAAAAGTTTTAGGTCATCGTTAGAACTCAGATGGCAGCATATTATATGACCCACACTTCATCTATTTCCAGCTAGTAAGTGCTAAAATGTGTATTAATTAAAAAAAATTCAGTTGGTTCTGTGCCTTTGTGAGGGAAAGGAAGCTTTCATGTTTTAACTGTCTTAAAACTAAGAAGAGGTCAATTACTATTAACCATGAACTACAGAGAAGAAAAATTCCAAAGTTATCGAGTACATTTAAAAAAAAAGGCATTTCTCCTTAGGCTTCTGCACTTGGGTTACTAGTCAAATCCTGACTGATCCTGCCAGGATATCATTGAAATATGAATGTGAGTTAGGTATAATAATCCCCTCATCAATAAATGCATCATCCATTCAACATATATCTAAATGTTTCTAAAGTGAAACAGTTTAAGGCATTATTGGTATTAAAACAGACAAAGTTGATACTCTCATGTGTAGCAGTCCATTGCTAAGAGACAAGAAAATCTGAGAAAGGAGGATGAGACAGAGGTATGAGGGCTACTCTTTTAGATTAATAGTGGTAGAAAGCTGCTCTGGGGAGGAGATATGTGAGCACAGACCTGAATGAATTGGGGGTGCAGATCAATATGGTGGAGAGTGAGCATTCCCAGAAGGGTACAGTCACTGCAAAACTCCAGACACAGGGGCACACCTAGTGCATTGGAAAGTCAGAAGGCTATGGTTGCAGTACACAGAGCAGGGAGGGAGCGGTATGAGATATCACGGAAGAGACAGCAGGAGCTGTTCGCGGTTCATGAACAGTCTGTGAACCATGGCTGGGGTATGGATTTTATTCTACGTGTGATAGGCAGCTGCTAGAGGAATTTAAGCAGAGAAATAATAACTAATCTGAATTATATTCTAAAGGATTACAATGTCCCTTTTGTGATTCAGCTAGTCCCTGGAGTGAGGTGTTTATCTAAGCTGCTTTTAATATTTATTTCAATGTTTTATTTAGCAAATATTTGGCCTCCATGGTAAAATATAATGACATAATTTTCCTCTAGTGGAAAAGTGGAAATACAAATCCATTAGGCTCCACTGGCATACTCTCCTGAACACCTTTCTTAGACCTGGATTGTGTTGGAGCCTGGATGAAAACTACCCTTAAATGCTTTTATGCCTCTGAATTATTTTACTCTCTTTGGAATCACAGAGAAAAATGCATGTAATAGCAAAATTGAGAAAAAATATAATTCTGCATTTATAAATAATGTTCTCCATTTAATAAAATACACAGATGCAGGTAAAAATGCCTCCCCTTTCATAGATGCTACATAAGGGGGGGGGGAATCTAAAGAGTTCAAAGGTCAAGAAAATGTCACCATACTATATTTCTATTTTACCACCAATGATGCAAAATAGGCATTGGTTGTGGTATTCTCTATGCTCTACCTCAGAGATAACATAGGTAAAGCTGTGGAGTATTTTAGAATTTGAAGGGAATTTGGGGGTTCATTTTATTCTCCCCATACTTTTTTTTTGAAAATAGGTAATGAAATTGCCCAAGCATGAAATTGTGTGGATAGAGGAATGACAGGAACATAGACCTACTAATTCCTGCGTTTGTTTCTAGCTTTAAGAGGATATTTTTCAATGGTTTCAGTATTAAAATATCCCAAACACTCAATATTGAAATATTCAATATTTTCTTCTAAGGGGATATTTCAATATTTCGACAAACATTGACTAGGTACCCAATGTGTTCTAGGTGAATGGGATGAGATACATAGGACATGGCCCTTGCCCTTTGAGATTTCATGCTGATGGTGGAGACAGACACACAGATTAAATACAAATCAATATGTTCAACAGTAGTAGTAGAGGCATATTTATTATAATCCATTCAACACCCATTTACTGAGCTCCAACGATATGCCAAGTACCAATTCTGCTTAGAGAAAAAAGGGAGGGCTTCAGAGACGAAGCACCATTTGAACTGGTTCAATGGTTCAAAGGATGGGTAGGAGTTGGTCAGAAGGAACGGATAAAAGAAAAAGAAAGATCTCTAAGAAGAAGGAGCAGTTTGTATAGAACTTAGAGGTATGAGAGGGTGTGACTATAGGCAATTTACATGGGACAAAATGAAGCGTGGATAGAAAGGGAGATGTTTAGTTCGGACTATAAAAGACTTAGTATGTCATAAAATCATAGACTTTTGTATCTCTAGGGAGACATCTGAGAGGTTATTTTAACTGTTATTTAATTTTAATTGTAGATGCTGTTGGTGCCCTATCCATATACTCTCATCTCCATCACTTCTATAAAAATGCCAGCCTGACTTCCAATTGCCAGCAATTGCATGTCTTTTCCTGAGTTTCCTGTGGCCACTAAACCTATCCTGGCTGCCTCTGAGGCAAGCCAGAAGTTCCAGAAAATTGACACTGCTGTCTCTTGATCACATTCAACATTCCTTACCAATGACTCAGAATTTGGGGCATAGACAGCCCAGCCTCCTAGTTCTTCAAGTCAGATAATTCTTGATGTGTGTGTTCTACACTGGTTTCCAGAGTTTCTCCAGGATTAAGCTCCAGCTGCTTCGAGTGAAAATTGGCTTGAAAATGTACCCTTAAATGGCTGCCTTCCTGTCCCTATATCATTTTCCATACCCCTTACCATACCCCTTCCTTTACCTTGCAAAAAAAGTATTTTCACTTGATTCCTTGTCTCAGAGTCTGCTTCTGGGGAAACCAAAATGGCCAGTGACAAGACCAGATGTGTATTTCAGAAATAGACTTCATGGGTTTGTGAGCGAGACAAACTACACAAGGAAGAGACTAGAGAAGGACAGGCCCCTAGGAGGTCAGTGAGTGCCTGGGGACAAGTGGGAAGTGACGACTAAGGTGTTGTCAGTGGGGAAAGAAGGTCAGTCAATGTAAAGAAAAGACTACAAAGGAAGAACTAAAAACCTAGATTCTTGGAAAAGGAAAGGAAGAAGTCACAGAGCTATTTTATGTCAGATATTACCATAGAAAAAT